GTTCCTCGAAATGTCTAATGTTGTCAAACCTTTGAGCTCAAAAATGGATTCTGGAATCTCTCCGATCAAGTGGGACTTTGTCAGATAAAGCCATGTTAAGTTCTTCAAGTTTCCAATGCTTTCAGGAATTTCACTTTCTTCAAAGCTGTTAAACCCTAAACCGAGCTTCACCAGACGAGCTAAATTCCCTACCCAACTTGGGAAATTTCCAGTAAACAAGTTGCCTGATAAATCAAGAATCTCCAAGTTCTTCAATGGCGAAAGATCAGGGATGTCACCCGTCATTCTGTTGATGCTAAGATTCAATACTCTGATATTGCTGCAATGAAGAAGCTCTAATGGAACCTTCCCGGAAATGCGATTGATCGGCAGCCGAAGTGATTTCAGGCTCCTGAGATGAGAAACGGACGGCGAAATGACGCCGGAAAGCAATTTGTTCTGAAGAGATATTGCCGTTACCTCGCCGGAATTTGGATCGCAGGTGATTCCTGAGAACCCACATGGTGAATCTGATTCCCGCCAAGAATCTAGAACATTTAAAGGATCCTTGAGCTCGTTCTTGAACTTGAGCAGAGCTTCAACCTCAATGTTTAGAGAAAAACATGGCGGGAAAATGGAGAGCGAAATGAGGAACAGAGCGGGGAGAATTAGGAAGAAGTGAACTGGGTTCTGCGCCATTGAGAAGATTAATCAGGAGTAAAACAGCCATTCAACAAACTTTGAGCTCAACACAGAACCATTCGTCCGCCATTACTGTACTCTGTTTCAGAAAAAAAAAAAAGAAGGTAAGCTTCCAGAATTTTTTTATAAAAAATATAACCTTTTCTTGATTTTTTTTAAAATAATAAAATTAGTTAATATTATTGAATAAAATTATTATAATAATCTATATTAGAGTATTAAATTTGAGGTTGATTACCAAATTAATGAGACAGTACGTGACGTTAAAACGTCATTTTTGTCTTTAGTTGTGGATTATTACTTTATTATTATGTTGCCCTGTACCATGATTTGATAGAAGATTTTACTTTTTATCACCCGTAATCTTTTTGAAATTTAACAATTAATCAAGATGAAATCATGATTACCTGACCCATTTAAAATCACAGTAGAATTCACCTATTCTTGAATGGAAGAAAAACAGAGTGCGCTTCCAAGTCACTCATTACATCACTTGAGTAACTTTTAGATTATTGGACTTTGTTTGTTTAGCAAGAAAAGTCATGGGAATGATAAAAAAGTACAATTACATAACAGAAACCTCAATCATCTCATGAATCCAATCGGATTTATGCCTCCTTTCTTTTTCTTTGGCTATGGAGTAATGAGCAGATTATTAACGGCATCATAGTAGAAGAAAAACCCAAATCAACCATGAAGAAAAGAAGATATTATTTAAACAAAAAGAAAGGATTAGAGGGGATCTTGCACCTGCAAATGGAGAGAACTGTAAGATCTTCTGAAGCTAGAAATGTTATTGAATGATCTTCTCCCCTGGGTAACTCTGAAACTACAAGATTCAGAAGAAAAAAATCAGAAACAAAAAACAGGGGATGTACTGTAAATCTGTAAAGAGAGAAACAGCTGCTATGGTGCTATGCTTGTGATAATATCAAGTATACTTTCTGGGATATACGTATGTAAAGATAAATATAAACATTAGCAGAGGAAAGCTTCTGTTCAGAAATCACTTCATAAGATGTAACTTGGCAATTACGGAGAATTGCTAACATCAAGTGATTGAAAAAAAGAGCTTAGGGAATAAACGTATACCCACATAAATTTTCGTTGAC